TTTTTTTCTCTCTTTTCGGCGCAACAACACACAAAGCAATAAACAGAGGGGAAAAAAAGGCCAAAAGAAGAATCAAAATTATTAAAAAGAATATTTATATATGTTTAATCCGCTGATTATTATAATTCGATACTTTTTCCTCGTGTCGCTCTTCATTCTGCGCTTTTGAAAATGAAGAAAGAATCAATCATCTACATTTATTATATCAATGATGTTTTTTTTCTCGGTCTGTTCATTTGTGTCTCTTTTTCATCTCTTCCACTGATTCCGCTTCTTCTACACGTTTTTATTGCTGCCGTTACTGCTGCCGCTGCCAAACATTAGGAGAGTCTTGTACAAATGGTTTTTTTTTTTGCCTACACACCGTCCGTAGAAAATGAACTAACGAGCTAATGAACGACAAAAAAACACACACACACAAACACTCTTTGGCAGCACTCGGCATTAAGAGAACAAACAACGGCAGCAACGGCAGCGACAGAAAAAACGTGAAATAGTGAGCAACGCATGAACAAAAAAAGTACATACGACAGAGAAGAAAAAAAAATCAACATTATAAAGCAACGCCGAGAAGAATGAGCATTGAATCTCTGTTCACCTCTTGCTATAGCTAAGCATAGCATATATGCATACACACAAACACTCACTGGCCCAACTGATCGATGAGGAATTGAAAATCGATGCACCGATTGAATATATATGTGTAGTATTCCATTCTTTCTCTTGTTTGTCTTTCAGTGCATTATTGCAATGCCGATATGCGTTAGGTTTCATTGAAAATCGGCTGCGAGTGAGTGTGTGTGTGTGTGTGTGTGTGCCTTTTTTGTTTTATCTCTGAGCTCGGCTTTGCTCAGTTCGTTTTGGACATAAATATGTAGCTATCGGCGGTGAAAAACCGAAATTCATCGATTTTCAATCCAGTTTTCAATGTATGCATTTGGAGATGATTCGAGGCCGAGGATGTGTTTTTTTTTTCTTTTTTCGTTCTGTTGTTCGTTTTTGTATGGCAAAAAGAAGAAGAAGAAGAAGAAGGCTCGAGAGTTGGAAAAGAATGAAAATGTGTGTTGCCATTCACTCGTACTGCGGCTGCCAGTGCCTCTTCCAAATGACCATTCTCGTTCGTTCGTTCGTTCGTTCGCTCTCTCTATCTCTCCGTCTTTCTTCTATGCTTTGATTCTATGTTTCCTCTTTTCTCCTCTTTCTCGATCGCTTTTTGTTCTTTCTCATTCTCAGTAGGTTTTTTTTCCCATTTTTATTCTCTTTTTCACTTTTTTTTTCGTCCGTTCGGGTGTTTTTTTTCTCTCCCTTCATTCGTTCAATACTTCTCGTTGAAGTTTTGTGTATTATGCACTTTTCGACGCATGTATTGTGAATACATACGCGCGGGCTGATGACGATGGCGATGGCACTGACGAACACATGCGAATCCCGCACACACTTGGAAAACTGATTTCTACCAATTCCATTCGCTCTGCACTATGGCTTTGGCATGCTTGGTGCGTTTTTTCTTTTCTTCATTCTTCATCCTTTTCGTAGTGCACACATCTCCGGTGCTATGCCGTTTGGATTCTCTCTCTCTCTCTCTCTCTCTCTCTCTCTCTCTCTCTCTGTCGGTGTGCTGCGCCGTTTCCTACAATGTACTCACCGAAAGAGCAAGAGATAATTTTTTTATTGTGTTTTATGCGCTCTTTAGAAAATCTTATCTTTTCTGGCTGCTGCTTCTTCTTCTTCATTCCTCTCCGTTCGGATCGGTCTTCATATCTCTCTTTTTGTTGTTGTTGTTGTTGTCCTCCTTCTCCTCTTCCTTTTTTCCAAATCGTACATTTATCTATATATGCCGAGCAAACGGCTGGCTGTATTGTAGCCCGAACTGCTGAAAGCATTTGTGTTTTGGTTTATTGTTGGTGTTGCAGCCGTTCTTCGGTTCTCTGCATGTTTCTCTCGTTTTTCGTATATTTATTTCTGTGTTTTACTCGAAAATTCACTTCTATTGCTAATTTGTTTGGTATGTGAAACTCATCCGCTTCTCTCAATGTTATATATATGCACTGTTTTTTTTCTGCTGCTGCTGCTGCTTCTTCTTCGTTCACTCCGTTGTTGTCTTTTTTCGAAATTTCATTCTGATTCGAGCTCTTTTCTCTTCCTTTATCTTAGTTCGTTTTTGCTTTTTGGTCTTTTCTTTTTGTTCCAAATGCAACGAGAATTCTGTATGAACACACACACACACACACATAGACCATCAATCGTGCGCACCATATGAGAGCGAGAGATGCATGGACAAGGCTATCAGGAAACAAAAACATAAAATTCCTTTCAATTCGATTATTTATTTAATGGCATGTCCCATAGATTTCGGTGCAGTTTTTCAGAACTGAAAAAAAAAAAAATACTCAAACAGACAACCCGAGAAGAGAGAGAGAGAGAGAAAGAGAGAGAGATAGAGATAGAGAGAGAGGAAGGAAAAAAACAACAACACATTTTTCCTGACAAAAACACACATGTACATATCTATATATCCGAAAGGGCAGACCAAAAACCAAATGAAGGAAGAAAAAAATTGTTTACATTGTATTATGGCCAATTATCGGGTCGCAGTGTGCATGCCATTTGTCCCTGTGTTAATCCATTTGCATGCACCGAACAGCGTGAACAGAATGAACCGAACCGAACCGAACCGAACAGAAAAAAAATAGTGCAATTAACCGAAAAATGACGAACAACAATAGGAGAGAGTGTGTGTTGCGTTTATTTCTTCTCGGTACATATGTGTGTCTGTTTGTCTGTCATGTTTGTATGTTGAAGGCCGACATTGGCCATATATCGCTTAATGTTCCGATTTCCAAACAATGCCATTATTTTGTTTGCCTTTTCCAAAAAAACAAAATACACCAGAACTACGACACATTCATCAATTTGAAACAGTCAATTGAAAGCATTTATCCTCGAACAACTCATTTTGCCAATTCATAATGTGTATGCATGTTTTGTATCGTCGTCGTCGTCATCATCATCATCATAGTCGTTGTCGACCGATTTGTTTCTCGTGAATTTATTATGATTATATATTTCATATGTCAGGTCTTGCATACAAAATTAACGAAGAGAGAAATGAAGAAAAAAGCGGCGCATACACACATTGAATTGAAAAATAGGATTTAATATTTCTTTAAAAACCAGTAATTTGATTGTTGTTATTGTTCACATGCGCGCAATAACACCGCACGCCCCCCCTTTCACGAAATACACAAAATTCAAAATGACATTTTAATTGAGCATACGGATTCATGACGATTTTGTGTTTTTTCTAAATTATAATTCAAGTTGTGCGTTTTTTTTCTCTCTCTCTCTCTCTCTCTCTCTTCACTCCATTCTTTCGTTTTGGTTCACTCTCTTTCTCTCTCTCTCTCTCTCTCTCTCTCTCTCTCTCTATCTCTGTTGCTCACTATCATGTGCGCTCCGTTGTCTCATTCGGTTCGTGTATTCGTCAATTATTTGTCGTGTTGCTTTTTGGATTGACATAATTTTTCAGTCGAAGTGGTTGCAGCCGAAGCTTCGACAGCAGAACACGGATCAACCATAATATTCAATTTGAATGCGAAACCAAACCAATTTTATAATTTATAATTTAGATGTACGGTTTTCTCGGTTCCGCTATTGTTAGTTGTAGCGAGCGCGGGGGCATCGACAGTCAAATGCATTGTGTGCGCTCTGCGCTCAAATTCGTCGTTGTCGGTGGATGCCTTTTGTTGTTGGTTGGTTTTTTTTTTTTCGCGTGTCAATTTTATGGTTGGAATTTCTTTTTTGTTCGTTCTGTTTGTTTGTTATTTGGTTTTTTCGGACACGGCAAAAGATCTTTTCGTTATTAACGCTTGAATGCGTCAAGGGTATGAGTGTATTATTTCTCACTCATCCCATTTTTGAAATTTCAATTCGATTTGAATTTTCAATCCATTGCACGCCACACTAAATTGCACGATCTCTCTTCTCGACGCGGTGTTGTTGTTTTTGTTTTTTTCCTCTTTTCTGTTCTCATCGTCGGGTGGTTTTGTTGCTTCAGTTTTTTTTTCTTTCGTTAGCGAATGTGAATGAATTTAATTGATTTGAAATTCACATGCTGAGCGCCTGTATGTGAGTATGCGCCAATTGAATGGGGGGCGGCGTTGACGGCGGCGGTGACGGCGGTGATGGTGGTAGCGAGAACAATTTCAATTCAGCAGCAAGCAACAGCCAATTGGATTTGGATTTTTGATTGCTCCTTTTCAGTCGACTCGTACACTCGTCGTGTATCGACTGTGCTTTCCTTTTCAATTGCATGTGTGTGTGAGTGTATCTGATTTCGCGTTTTTTCCCTTAAATTGTATTCAAAACATTTTTCCTGCTTCGCGAATTGAATTTGATTGAATAATGAGAGTTTTTACTAGTTGTGATCGATGGTTGTCATCTCCTTCTCACGAAAGATGAGAAGCGACAATAAGAAATCCGTCTCATTTTCGGAGTATTACCAAGGAAATGGCTCAGCAGGCCTGAGAAGAATGAAAGAAGTACGAGAACGGAGAGTGAGAGAAAAAAAAAGCATACCGATCGTCGTCATCGTCGTCGTCGTCGTAGTTGTCGAAAGACGAAAGAGAAAAAAAAACCATCGTTGAAATGAATAATAAATGCTAATGGTATTGCTCTTCGCCTGGATTTGGTAATGCGGCATTCAGATTAAAAGGTCGCTCAAAATGTTCGATAAAAATTTGTCGGTTTGTTATTTTATGACCGTTATCTCGACGTGATACCAAAATGCGTGGTTCGATATATATTATCATCGACAAGCACATTTTTCTCTCTCTTCATTTCGTTTTTTTTTTTTTTCATCTTCACCATTTTTGCCCATATTTTATCGTTCTGAATCGTGTGTTTTGAAAACAAACTACCATTTTTATGATAATATCACAGTTTCTAATTTTATCTTTTTCTCTGTTTTTTTTTTGTCTTTTCCTTCTCAACAACTACAGAAAAAAAATTGCAGAGGTGCAAAATGCAAATGGTCGTATGGATTGATTGCCGCACAAAAAGCGACCGCATTTCGATTGAACATTTGTGAATTAGAGTGGAAACCGATTTGTTTGAAACGAAAATAGGCAGTAGAAAAAAAAAACCGACTGATTTCAAATGAAAGACTTTCTGTGTGGTGTGGACAAAGAAATAACAACCGAAGAATAGAAGATAGATGAGCACCAACAACGCAGACACAAACACACACAAAAAAATGAATGATAACGTAACAATGCGACGACAATGAGTTTAGTTGAATTAATCGGGGAAAAAAACGTTCGAGAAAATAAATTGCATCTCTTTTTTTTTGCTCTCTGTGTTTGTGAGTTTTTGTGTGGTGAATTAAACAGAAAATAATTTGCGAGCGCATCTGAAATTGAAAGAGAGCAGGCTCATCTCCGGGTTGTGGGAAACCGACCGACTCTGCAGGTGCAGCTCATTAGTGCGCGTTTCGACACCATTTTAGCCAAGCCAAGCGAGAGAGCTTCACAATCTCGCATTCACACTCAAAAGAAACGCCGGTCCGAAAGAAGTCGAGAAAACGGGAGAAAAAAAAAGTAGTCGAAAATTCGCGGTTTCATCAAGTGTAACAGTGTATATCAATAAAAAAGAAAACACAATTTAAATAAAGAAAAGAAGAAGAAGAAGAAAAAAGAACGACGACAACAAATTCTTGGTCGATGCGCTCATTTTCCCCAGAGAGTAGCATTCATCGTCATCGAAATTGTGGATAACCGTGTTTTTAGCTCGGCAAGTGGCTGCCACAGCCATTTGTGAGTGGATATATTTGCCATCATTTCAACTATGAAATCCGCCTCGAAAATGTCAAGCCTTCATAATGAACCCAGCTACGACCTCATACACACCGATTGCCATCACACAGCAACAGCAACTACAGCAACAACCACACATCATCGATCGATGAACCAACGATATGATGTACAAACAACAACAGCGACAACAACAAAAACACATTCAATTTCAACTGCCAAACAGCCAAAATGCGCTTCACATGACAAATCGGTTGTCAAACGCGGTCGTACATTAGATAAATCATCAGATTTTTTGCGATGGCACAAAACGAAATTGAAAGCATGCGGCAACGATGGAGGTGGCTACAGCAGCAACAGCAACAGCAGCATCAACCATCGGCAGCGCCACTGGCAATGGATGCAATCATCGTACTACATTCTCGTGATAACTATTGTTCTATTCGCATCACTGAGTGAGCTATTCATATGTGTGGCACATGCTAACGACATAATACGGGCCAGCGATGTAGATGATAAGAGCAACAACCAAAAATATTCGGATTTGGGCATTACAACCGATCCATTGGCAGCGGCACGTGATGGTGGTGCATCGATTGCATCGGGAGGCGGCGTCGGCAGCGGCAGCGGCAGCACCAGTCGAAATAATCCAGGCCAATTATACAATTTGGATCGAATCGGCAGCAATTTGGAATTGAACCTTGCTGCGGTTTTCAATAAAGTTGCCTACGGCACCACAACCAAACGAAGCATTTCCGACAACGTATTCGTTCCGACACTAACCACCGTTCCAACGCCACAATTAACCACGTTCCGGTAATTTTCCAAACTCTCTTAATAACATCCAAAATCAGCAACAAAAACAACAACAGGAAAAAACTTCTGTTACTTGTTTTAATCACTGTTTCCAACCAGAGAGATTTCTCTTCCATTTATTGGTCATTTTGGTTTATGGTTTCTGTGTGTTTTTCTCTCTCTCCCTCTCTCTCTCTCTTCTTTTTATTTTGTTCCTGCCCCTTCTGATCGACGAATCGAAATAGGTATCGTGAAAAAGAAAAGGAATTCGATCCAAAGCAACAAGCGCATCATCAGTATCAGCAGCATTTATCATATCAAAAGCATTCGAATTTCAATAATAAATACTCACTCGATTTGGAGCATGACCATGCATTACCGACATCAGCACCGAATGCGGATATTTTGAAGAGCAACAGCAATCCAACATATCCGAATCCAAATCGACATCATAACCATGGCCATCGAGCTCATTTGAATTCAACACCAGCACCAGCAGGTTAGATACATTTTTATCCATAATTTATGACCATTTTAGACGGTAAGCGACAGACGAACACACTCAGGAAAATAAAACGAAAGACAGAAAGAAAAAAAAGAGACAATGAACAAAGTAGACAGGCAATAATAATATCGTATAATCATTAAAAAAAAAGTTCCAAATGAGAACAATCATCGATAATAATAGTTCGACTTTGAGACATTTTACACCCCATTCATAAAGAGTATATCATTAAATGTGTCATGACATTACGTGTCATCTCTCTTACGTATACAGGTCATAATTTACTGAACAAAGGTCAGGCGACCATACCAATGTTTGCGGCCGAGTTACCATCGTATTCGCCGCCAGCTCGTTCATTTTTAACACCACGCGTGCCACCAGAATATCCACAAAATCCGTTTGCCGAGCAGCCAACGCTGCGCGGTACAAACAGTGAAAGTGGTATTAGTTCTGGTTTCAATATCAATCGACGTCCGATTCCACCACCAAGTCTTATGCCTGGACATGAGAAAATCCCGTTGCGACCACCAGATCTTATACCTCCACCACCCAGTAATAATAATAATAATAACAATAACAATAATAATAATAATAATATTGCGAACGAGCCGAAAAATAAACCTCCCGTTACCGGTGAGCATACTTTTACATTATTTCTTACCCATTTTTTTCGTTGCTTCGATAATCTTTTCGATTATTCATCTGGCGATGATGCGCTTATATGTGAAATTGATGACATTTTTTGTGTGCTTTTTCTTTTTTCTCTCTCTCTGTCTCTTTCAACAATTTTATTCGCGTTATTTTAGACATGGATCGAAAGAAGGTATTAAATACACCGGCTCAGAAACTCAATCAAAATCGAATCAATTTGAATCAAGCGCCAGTAAACACAACGACTGATATAGCTAACAAAAGTGGTGGCCTTCATTTTCCGAGCATATTTCGCATTCTCTCAGGTACAAACGGTTTAAATAGCGATTTACCCGATATTCTATTGAAAACCGTAACGGCTCATCCAACGGAAGTGCAATCCGAGATGCCCACCCATGAAAGTGGACTGGATAAAAATGGTTCAAACGATGATGGTGGCGTCGATAAGGCATCAAATGACAATGATAACGATGGTGATTTTTCGCATAATGATGACAATACCGATGAAAATACCAGTCCCGAAGAGGATTTCGATTCGACCACATTCAATGGCGAAGAGCCAAAAATGCAACCGAAAATCAAACAGGGAACCACGACTACAGGACAGAAGGGCCCAAGCACAAAGAAAACCAATGTCATCACCGAAAGTCCAATGCACCAAAGCGATATGGTGTATTCAACGCAAATCATACAAAATTTAGCGGCCACCAATCCAAATGAGAATGGTAATAAAAAGGTGAAACAAACGACAACAACGGTGCTGGGCAATAGCAAAATTACAAATGAACGATCCACATTGACCACGTGGACGGTGGCATGGAATATTCATGTGTATTTATCGGCCATTCTGTTCACCATTTTGGCGGTGTATTCAATTTTCAAAATGATTTTCTACGATAAACTGACGCATCTAGTGAATCAAAGCTACTTCATTACATTGCATCTGCTATTGATAATCATTTGTTTGGCGCGCATATTTTTCCTATGCTACGACGCATACAATATCCATTTGAGTTTTCATTTATTCATTTCGGAGTTGTTGCTCAATTTGCCCGCCACCTTTTTGACCATTTCATTTTCGGTGTTGATTTTATTTTTGCTATTGCGCAGCCTAAATCACAAGAATAATCGATACTCAGCCTTGATGCGACCATTGACTGTTGTCGTTGGCAGTTCGGTTCATGTATTCCTCTGCGTAACACTGCACTATGTCGAAAGCTATGGCCAGCAGCAACGTAATCAACAGATTCAACAGCAGTTGCTACGCAATACCGAAGGATATCGTGGCAATCAGAATTATGTGTATCAACCACCCCCACGCGTTCTATCGCTCATCTGTCAACTCATTTACATATTCATTTGCCTCAGTCTGGGAATATTCTACCTCTACATTTACAAGGTGTTGAAGCGTGTACTCCAAAAGAAATCACAAAATTATATTCATGGCTATCAAAATTTATCGTATGCCATTCACATCACCATTGCCACAGCGTTGTTGTTCATTCTATTGGCCGCATTGCAAATCTATGGTGCCATCAGTATATCGACCACACGGCCGATAATGTCATCTCTATCGGACAACGATTGGCTACAATGGGGTTATCAATTTTCGTTGCGTTTAATTGAAATTGCGATAATTGCATTGCTGTCGTGGGTGACCGGCCTGAAGACGGGCACCGCAAAGGTGATGCAACGTGACAAAGTCATGGAACAACACAACGTATCCGGTTTTGCACTGTTCCCATGCACATCGTCCTCTAGTCAAGAGCATTTCGAAACCGATTATCCGGCCATTTGTAATGCAAACACCAATCTGCATTCGTACACATTGCGAACGGGAAAACCCATTTACGACGATACATTCGCATTGAATTCGCTCGGTATGGAAAATCCGGTGCCAATGGTTGGCGGTAATCCACAAATACAACAGCATCATCATCATCATCATCCGCATATGAATACAATGGGCAAAGTTAATCAATATCCGAAAAATGGTCAAGAATATCAAGTGCAATCGAATATGAACGGACCAGCACCACCACCGTTGCCGAGCGGCAATGAATCCGGTATTTATGAGGGGCAAATGGGCACACTGTCCAAGCAAACAAATCGAACGACACCAACGTATCCGGATCCACGTGGTGCTGATCATTTAAATGACAGCGGCACCATACCAGACCATTATGAAAATCCCAACTTTGAACTACATTCCAATTCGAACAGCAACTATCGCAAGCAACAAGCGTACATGGATAATTGCTATACCGAACCCATTAACGCCGAAATGATGTACAATTCCAAAGATGCGCCCAGCAGTTATGATTTCCAGAATTTCGAGCGTCCAAATTATGCTGATCGAAATTTGATGCAGCCGGGCAGCAGTGCCACGGAATTCCGTGCATCGAAGAATCTCAAAGCATTGGTAAAAAGTAACAGCGGCAACTATGACCCACAGAATCAACAACTCAAACAGAATAATTTAAGCGTGGGCGGTGGTGGTGGTGGCAAAGTATCACATTATCCACCAACTCACAGCTACAATTCGTTCGATCGACGGGGACAACGGAAAAGCGGTAAGTTTAAATCATTTCCGATGTTTGACGACTTTTTTCTGTCATTTCATTCTGACTTCCGATTTCGAGGTTTTTTTCTCGTTAATTTTTTTTTTTTTTTTTGTAAATTGAATTGATCTCACAATTTTCGACCACATCCATTAACAAATTCCCCTGCACATTACACATCCACACTTCATTTAGGTACACGAACATTGAATGCAGTGCGTTCGTCACAACAGTATCAGCACGATTATCACCAGAATAATAACAGTAATAATATGTGGCATCGAACATCGGCTGGCCGATCATCAAACAATTCGGCCAAAGATCAGCGTCATCAAACGACACGTAGTAATAATTTTTTAGCCACCGCGCCCAATGATAATAACATCAATAATGTGGACATGGATGGCATGGCCAATGATTTTGATACGGTGAGTAATGCGAGTAGCGGTGATGGTGGTGGTGTTCGTGCCCTAAACTACAATCCAGATATGGTACTGTTTAAGGCCGGTCAACGTAACAGTGACCATTCAAATGGTGATGCAAATGCACAGAACAGTGCAAGCAGCGGTGATTCATCGACATCGATGCTGGTTGCCGAACATGGATTTGTACGCTTCCGACCGATGGAGAATCTACAGCAGCACCAGCAACAGCAGCTGCAACAACAACAACAACAACAACAAAAAGATAAGAAAGAATCAAATAGTGATAACAACAATAAAAATAGTCCAGCCATTATGCAACGGCATCACAAACGATCATTAACAAATTCGTAGTGTTTAGGGAGCAAAGACGAAGTATAAACATTTAAAATATATATACATACACACACAGAGAGAGAAAACAGATAAATAACGATGAACAACTACAACAGACAAAAAAAAACAAGAAAACGTATGAAAGTCATACAAGTAAAAAAAAAAGATATGGAAATTAAATTACTATTACAATTATTATAATTATGGTAATTATTGTATACAATTTGACGAGAAAGAAAGACAAGAACAGAAACAGAAAAAAAAAATCACATGCAAATGAAAAGAAGAAACAGAAACGGAACAAATTATTATGAACAGGAATGCGAAGAAAAAAAAAATTGGAAAATCTGATGCAAAAAAAAAATTATTATATGAAATATAAAAACGAGAACGAAGCGAACAGAGTGAATGGAAAAAAATTATCTCTATATAACAAGATTGCAACGCTAAAAAATGAATTGCGGAGAAAAGCGAAAAATGGTTGAAAATGACTACAACATAGATATTTATCACGTAAGGGAATTTAAATGAAGTGACATACAGTACACACTCACTCATATACACATATTCTGACAAAAAAAGCGTGTATCCGCCGAAATCGAAATACACACTCTCGTTCCCATTTTCTCGCTCCCGCTCTCTCTCTCTCTCTCTCTCTCTCTCTCTCTCTCGCTCTCATACAAACCGAGAGAGGGAGAGAGAGAGAAAAACCACTCACTTGAAATGAAAACATACACGGGGTGTATATTTTATCCACGAACAAACGAAATATTCACGGGATATACAGACGAATAGCTGGAATATGAAAAAAAAAAAAAAAAGTAAAAAGAGTATTTACATTGTACCGTATGCACGAAACTGCATAACACACGATAAGAAAACATATTTAATGAAAGGACACGGAACAAAAAACCAAACACACACACACAAACGAAAGAGAGCACGAGCATGGGACGGACGGACGGAACTGAAGTTCATGAACAAAAATTATCTGTTAAGTAATAAATGGTGTGATGGCGTATTCATATACAGCAACAACAAATAGTAGAATAGCTTTTTTCTCTTTCACAAACACACAAACACACACACTCACATTCTCACCCAAAAAAAAACAATCTATCTCTCTCTATACAATTTAGTATGTTAAAAACTTAAATTAAACGTTAGTTTTCTATTTAAAAAAAAGAAGAAGAAAGAAAAGAAAATGCATTACACACATTTTAACATCATCATAAATGCCGTTGAGGTGTATGAGAGCGCGACACATAAGAAGAAGCTGAAAAAAGAGGAAAATGCATATATACGCCATATTTAGAACCAGAGTGCGAACAAGCGAGCGAGAGGATGAGTGAAAATGGATGGAGCGCACTTTGCCCACTTACTTCAGGATAGGCCTTAAATTATGTGGCAAAGCGGTTTGTTCCGAATCCATTTATTGCGGCCCCGCATGCACTCATCATCCCTAGTGCCCTGTACTCTTTATCTCTCTCTCTCTCTCCCGCTCGTTCTGGCTCTCGCATTACCCACTCTTCTCACACTATTAAGAGAATGTGATAGAGCAGCGCATTTATCGCAAAACTCGAACCATTCGCGTGGAGCGGGTGCTCCTCCCGAAAAAAAAAAAATATATATGAGAGAATAGAAGTGAAAAGAAGTTGAACAACAACAACTAGTACAACAACAAAAAAATATCACTTCATATATATCCATTGAATGTACATTGCCTTCCTATTTTCATTATCTTATTCGCAACATTCATACATCCATCCACATCTACTAACTGACGTATACATATAGATATTTTACAATCTGATGTGTGTGTGTTATGCATTTTTGTTGTTGTTGTTGTTGATGGTGGTGTCATGTTCTATGCTGGCGTTGTTGTTTTTTTTTCTCTCTCGACATTCACTCTCTCACTCTCAGCGCCGTCATACAATATGTCATTCATCTCTTGCATATAAAGCCATGTGAAAACGATAAATAATGCAAAAAATCTCAATCGGCGCCTATAAATAACACGAAAATACATATGTTCTTTTATTTATTTTTTTTTTTCTCTGCTTCAGTCTCTCACAACTCGGCAGAGATTGCAAGTCAAACCAGTTATATAACAGAAACCGCGCACGGGCTCGCTCGCTCGAGCTCCGTCACGAGAGTAAATTGAAATCAACCCCTTTTTCTAACCATTGGGGACGACAGAGATATAGAAAATGTTTAGTGCTCATTATTACCCAGTGCCAGAGTCCATTGAATTATTTATGATATACATATTGTGTTCGATGACGGTCGAGCTTTTGTTTCAAATTGAGGCAGAAAACGAAAGAAAAAAAAAACCATTGAATATATGCCGAGGATGGAGAAAGCCACAAAAACAACAACAACAACGAAAATCTAAACGACACGTTTTCAATATTCCATTTCCATGTCATGCATTCCGGCCCAAATAACAATGATGAAGAACAAAAAAAGCAGCTTATAAATAAACCAATCAAATTGAAAAATTCCGAAACTAATTTTTAAACGGATTGACCTATTGTGTATATCTCAATTTACTGTTGACAATTCATGAAATATTCAATGGTGTTGGTCGGCATGGTTGATGGGTATCCCAAAGGAATGGGATGGGGTGGATACAAGCAGGGTTAGCGTGTCAATTTATGGCGTCTTTTTAATTTTCGAATTCATCAATTTAGTAGTTTATATATGATGTATCTGGATTCATATCATGGACTGGTTTTGGACACTGGATTCGAGTTTATAAAGGCGCCACATTCATTCAATGTGATCTCAAAACATAGAATTTCAAAACTCTACTGTACATGTTGTTCAGTTCTATGTTAGACATGCAACCTTTTCCATTCACAATATACCCCCCGTTCAACAACCGAAACCAAAAAGAAACCACCAAACACACATACACAAATAGATATTACACAACACACAGTTATTTATGTAAAAGAAAAGAAGAAGAAAAACAAAAACAAAAACAAAAACAAAAATGAACGAGCGCGACTGAACCGTATACTTACATTTATAGAGTACATTTTAAATAACCTGTAAAACATAAATAATTTTTCTTTTCTGAATTGATTGTGCGATGATGGTTGCAAAATATGGTGGAAAATGCGCTAGAGAGAGAAAATAAAAAAAAAATAAATGTGGAAAATGCGCGCGACAAAGGCAGCGGAACAATATGAGCAGGAAAAAAAACAGAAGAAAAATTCTAAGTGAAACTAACACAGAAATCTATATAGTTATTTATATATATGCATATATTTATATTAAAATGTATATTTATATGTATGCATGATGCCCTGTCTCTCTCTCTCTCTCTAAAACACACACATTCATCCATTTAAGCCCACTGTCAACACACACAATCTGGAAGCAAAGGAAGCAGGAAAAAAAAGAAGTAATATAACTGAAACAGAAACCAAGACATCCGTAATTATCGTTATGCACAAATAAGCAAGAAATGGAGACAACATAACACGTACATTCTTCTAACCAATTATTCCTGCGATTTGGAATCGTTCTCACACTCATTCAACACACTCAGACAGTCTCTCTCTCTCTCTCTCTCTCTCTCTCTCTCTCTCTCTCTCTCTCTCTCTCTCTCTCTCTGTGCATGTTTCGTTCCGTTTGTGTCTCGCCCGATGCTTTTTGCTTGCTCTCTGTGCATATAGTATGAGTGTGTATGTCTCTCTGCGGTGCACAAACCGAAACGATGAGCGCTGAATTGCATAAAAATTTTCTACTCGAAAGCTTGCAAATCATCATAAAGCATACGATATACGACCTCCAGAAAACCAGCTAGAGTATTATTATTTTCGTTGGGATAAATCCAGAAGCAAAAAAAAAAAAATAACACACACACAGCAAGAGAGACAAGAAACAGAGCTGGGATGATATGCTGGTGCAACCCGAGAGGGAGATCGAGTGTGATTTAACAATGCAAGCGATTGTGCTTTTTTGTGTTGGGCGTGAGCGCGGTGAAAAAGAGATACAATTCTTGTTAACGTTTGTGCAACTTATTCTTCATTGCAAAACTTTCGACGGGTGGTGCACGCTCACCACACGCTCTCGCTTCCTCTCACTCCATTTCACTCGCACACACCATAGAACGTCATTGCAAGAGCCTTGTTGTGTACATGAGAAACATCACCTCTGGCGGTGTTTGCATTGCATAAAAGGATCATCTCGTTGCATTTCACTTCGCTCATATTTATACCGAAAACGTAACAATAACAACGGCGAACAACAACAGCCACAAGAAGCAACAAAAAAAATTACTCTTGCGCTGCGAATTATTGGGGGATTATCTTACATGTACACAAACAATCATAATTTGTCGTTAGATGTTAAATCCTAGAGATACAACAAAGAATAACAAAATCATTTTCTTTCTTTTTATGCACCACATACTCTCTGTTTCTCACCACTATCTCTCTCTCTCTCTATCGGGTTGTTATTGTTTTTTTTTTCTTTCGTACGCTTTTCGGTAGCATTTTGGACGCGTTCATTTTCTTTTGCACACGAAGAGAGAAAAGAAAACACACATTTACGTGCGACAAGAACACGACAATTTTGTTCTCTCTCTCTCTCTCTCTCTCTCTCTCTCTCTCTCTCACAGAAAATATATTCATTTTTCCCATATCTCATCGTATTCATAAAAGAAGAAAAAAAACATTCAACAATATCTCATTATCTCATTCTGTAACCAATGTGTTGTGTTCAATTTGCATTTGATTTATTCGCTTCATAATCGACTGATTTTTGTTAAAGAGAAAAAAAAACAAGCCATTTTTTTTATAGACAAACATGTGCTCGAAATGTTCAAGCTTTTTCTTCACGCCTTCCATGGACATGGTGGAATTGATTTGATTTGATTTTTTGTCTCTCATCAATTCCATGATGGATTCTTTTCTTTAATTTTTAGCTTTTGCTTTACAATTCATTTCATTCGTGCGTCCATATGTTTCTTGAATATGTATTTTTTTTTCTCGGTGTGGATGTCCGTTTTTTTTCGTTTTCGAAAAAAAAAGTAAAGAAACAAAATCGGTGCGTATTTTTTGATAAAAAAATTTTTGTTCGTCAATTCGTCTGATTTTAACATTTAAGAGTCATTCGCTTTTT